TTTGAAATGTACATGATTTCTTAATGTCTCGTGACATATCAGGGCCATTTTATGATTAATTGAAATAAATTTCTTACATACAGCTCCTTTAATGTTAGTTAATAAAAATACAGCTGTTCATTGTTTGTTTATGTTAGTTCACAGTGCATTAACTAATGTTAACAAATACAACCTGTGATTTTAACTAAGAATAATAAATGCTGTTCATTCTTAGTTCATGTTAACAATGTAGTTAACTAATGAACCTTATTGTAAAGTGTTACCAGTTAATAATTAATATTTTATTATGATGAGTCATTTCATCTTTGTTGTTAGCAGCTGTCAGAATATGAAGCTCATATTTCATAACTGGGTTTTTTGGGTTCTGGGACCATTGGGTTTATTATTAAAAGTATATTATTATATTAAATGTCATTTTTATATTTTTGTTTGACCAGTTAGTGGAAGTTTGACATTTTCACTCATCTGTCATACTCATTGTCAGCAGTGGGTGGCGCTTGAAGGCAAAGAATTGGCACAGAATACTTTGCTTGTAGACATGGATCAGTCATCATGTGTCAAACACTGGAGAAGTTCAGTTTTGCATTCAGTAACACACAATAACCTGGTTTTATGTGGATAAATACACAACATCAAGAAAACCATTTAGATATGCTCTTATAGCACTATCTGTGGCATCAGTGGGTTGTTGTTTTTTTTGCATGATTTGTACATTGCTAAAAATTTAAAAAGTAGTGCTGGTCAACGATTAATTGCAAAAAAATAAGTTTGTTTACATAATATATGTGTGTGTGTGCTGTGTATAGTTAATTAGTATCTATAAATACTCACACATGCATGTATTTAAGAAATATTTGCATGTATACTGTATATATATTTATGCATAATTTGTATTATATACAAATATAAATATTTTATATATAAATAACACATTTTTCTTAAATATATACATGCATGTGTGTGTATTTATATATAGTAAATAATTATACACAGTACACACACTGTAACGAACTGCTCCGAGACATGAGGGTTGAGAATCCAAACGCAGTTTTTAATGGGAAAATCCAAGATCATAAACCGTATAACAGGCGGTGATCAAAAGCAAAAGCACAGGGTAATCAGTCCAAACCATAGGTCCAAACGATGACAAACAGATCCAGAGGGTGAGACAGGAACGGGAAAACCAGGACACAGGCAGATAACAAAAACCAGGAACATGGAAAACAGTGGAAACGCTCAGAAATGCAGTGTTACACACGTACAAGACTTTGCAGGGAATTAATGTGAAAACCAGGCTATTGGTGCGTTCAAGTCATCACAATGTCGTAAATACGAGTGTGGGGAGCTCGGGATTATCTTAAAAGGGATAGTTCACCCCAAAATATAAACTCTGTTAGTAATTACTCTCCCTCATGTTGTTCAACCCCGTAAGACTTTCGTTCATCTTCAGGACACAAATTAAGATATTTTTGATTAAATCTGAGAGCTGGATCACTCCTCCATAGGGATCGAAACTTGCCAGCCCAGAAAAGTTATTAAAGACATTGTTAAAATAGTCCGAGTGACTACAGTGACTCCTCAACCTTAAGTTTATTAAGCGACGAGAATACTTTTTGTGCGCAAAAAAACAAACAAAAATAACGACTTTATTCAACTGTTCATTTCCTTCTCTGTGGGCCTCGAGAGTTCAAGTAGTGTAACAGCGCATGCAGCGCTTCTGTTATAGCTATGTTAACTATAACTATCAAAAATATCTTAATTTGTGTTCCGAAGATGAACGAAAGTCTTACGGGGTTGAACAACATGAGGGAGAGTAATTACTGACAGAATTTTCATTTTGGGGTGATCTATCCCTTTAAGTCCCGATCTTTACGAGTTGGGGGCGTGTCAGTGATAAACATGGCGGAATACAAGGTATAGCCGGGTATAGCTGTGATATTGTCAGGCTTTTCTATTTACAGCGCAGAAAGCTAATTCCCTGCACAGAATAGGATAGCATTATAAAATAACAATGTAGTTACGATAAAGTTTGCAGTGCCTTCATAAATTAACTAAAAACATAAAGCAAAGCACACCTTATGCAAATCTTTGTTTCTTCATTTTCTAGAACTAGAGTTTACGAACCTTGCTGTAGTTTTGTGTAATTAATAATTAATTAAGCGAAAGTACACCGCCATCTTACTCCGACGAAAGTGACTTGAACGCACTGCCGTCGTAAACACGACTTCCCAACTCGCAATACGAACTCCTGAGTAACACAAGGTAATGAGACACATGTGGATGCAATCCTTACTGTCTATGATGCAATCAGGGATGATGAGTCCAGGCAGAGAGTTATGGGAAATGTAGTTTCATTAGGGAATGACAATAGTCCGGGGTGGAGACAGTGCCCTCTGGTGGTAATGATGGGCACTCTCACTGGTAATCGTGACACACACATATATTTTGTAAACACAAACTTTTATTTTGGATGTGATTAATAGCGATTAATCGTTGCCCAGCACAAAAAAAAAAAAAGCATTAATATGTTGTTTATGAAACTGAGCTGCTTCACTCTTCCACCCCTGAGCTGTTATCGATACCTGTAGGATTAACAGCACAATATAATCAATTAAACAATCAATACACTGTCTCTTAATCAGAGGCCGAACATAAACCACAGCGGCTCCATGAACATCATTTACTGCTGCTGCACAAGGGGAAATAAAGCCATGACCTTTCACCTTTCAGCACATAAACCACAGCAGAAGGGTTATATCAATCCCAAGTGAACAAGGATGTTTCCAGTAAAAAAAATCAGTGCGAATTTGTATTGATTGACACACGATGCACAAGAAAATAGTTGCTGAATCGCTTGTGGTCTTACTTTGAAAAATGAGCATTTGACAGACATGCAGTTGCTTTTTTTATATAATGAATGAATAAATTAATAAACTGGTGATGTTAAGGGGCTTTGTGTCCTGTGTGTGTGGTGTCCACAGACGTGCCTGATTGATCGTGGAGGAGAAAACACATAATGAGTACGCTGAGAGAAAAAGTCATTTATTGAACAAATATTTCCTTGCACAGAGTAAGAAACATTTCCAGAGAAAAATCCCTGTTTGTACACAGTTTTGCCCTTTTAAAATGATAAAATGCACATACTGATCCCAAACCGACTGTCAACGTCACAGGACAATCCACAGACGGACAACTGTGTTTCTGAGTCAAAAATACATCCCGACTGCAGTAAAAGGCACATTTGCTCAGTGGACAAACATAATGCAAAACACTGAATAATATTAATAAATAACGTTGCACATGCACAATCAAGTTGATGACAAAGGCAGTCACAATAAAAAAAAAGTAAGTTTGTAAAAGTCTATTGCAAGTCAACATAAATAAATTAAAGGGTGTATTAATTTAGCCTTCTCTACAGATTCACATCATTTATCGAAATATGAATTTACTGTAAAATGTAGTAATTAAGCTTTAGGTGAAAATGAGTGTGTTTTTCAGTGCAACACATCACTAGGGTGGACTGGGTGGTTGCCAGGGAGTTGCTATGTGATTGTTAAGATGTTCTGAATGGTTGCCAGGGCGTCGCTATGTGGTTGCTCAGATGTTCTGTACGGTTGCCAGGGCATTGCTATGGTTGCGAAGATGTTCTTTATGGTTTCCAGGGTGTTGCTATGTGGTTGATTAAATGTTCTGGATGGTTGCCAGGGTGTTGCTATGCAGTTGCTAAGGTGTTTTGAGTGGAAATGCACATAAAACAGGTATTTTGCATAGTAATTTTTTGTAGGCAATTTACAGTAATGAATATTTTTGTAAGGCCATAACTACCATATTTAACAATTTAATTAAGAACATTATTTTGTGCATTACAGCAATGAACGTTTCAGGGGTGGATAATGTGCTTATAATGCCCAAATGAACAAATATTACAATTATATATAATAATTATAGTTATATATATATATATATATATATATATATATATATATATATATATATATATATATATATATATATATATATTAGGGCTGTCAAATGATTAATCACGATGTATTAAGTGTGTATTTATATATATAAAATAATTATACACTGTGCACCCACATATATTATGTAAAAAAAACTTTTATTTTGGATGTGATTAATCACGATTAATCATTTGACAGCCCTAATATATATATATATATATATTATTATTATTAAAGGGGTGGTTGATTATGATTTCACTTTTCTAACTTTAGTTAGTGTGTAATGTTGCTTTTTGAGCATAAACAACAACTGCAAAGTTAGTTCAAAGCAAAGGGAGAAGAAATCACTCCTCCTGGCTTAGTGACATCACTAACCCTAAAATTTACATAAACCCGCCCCCGGGAACGCGATTTATAAATTATCATGATGACAGCATATGCTAATCAATGACTAGAAGATAGTTAACTCCACATAAGCTACACAAATTCATCAACTAACCATTCAGAAATGTTCTGTTGCTTTTCTACATGTTGTCACTTCTTCTTGAGTCTCTCCATCTTTCTGACTCCGGTTTGAACATAAAAGTTTTAGAAATTTTCAGTGCATGCGTGTGTGAGGTAATCGGAGCTGCTAACACACACACACACACACACACACACACACACACACACACACACACACACACACACACACACACACACACACACACACACACACACACACACACACACACACACACACGACACAACACGAGCTCTTAAAGCTCCGCCCCCTGTGCCGGGAGCTGCAGCTCATTTGCATTTAAAGGGACAGACACAAAAACGGGATGTTTTTGCTCACCCTCAAAAAGTGACAACTTTGACATGCTATATAAAAATATCTGTGGGGTATTTTGAGCTAAAACTTCACACACACACACTCAGCGGACATCAGAGATTTATTTTACATCTTGTGAAAAGGGCATTATACCACCCCTTTAAGATTATTTACTTTAATAACTAAATAAAAATGTATAAATAATAACAATAAATAATAAATACTTTAAACAATTACCTGTTTTATTTGGAGGTAAAACATGTCCTTGACAGTATTTGTGGGTTACTTCTTTCTGCAGTCGTGCATCTAGACGAGCGCGTGATCAAACTGTCCTCTCTCTAAAGCGTCTTTGGGATCAGACCAGGATGAGGACGGCATGCTACTGTACGGGTCCAGGATAATCCGGAAACATCGGACCAGCAGGAACACCAGAAACAGCAGCAGGAGCCCCACAAAACACAGCGCTGTGTTCTGCTCTGAGTCCTGAGCCAGCAGGAGCCCAGCGGTGGCCCCGGGGCCCGAGACCGGAGCCAGAGACAGCAGCTCGTACTCCAGCACAGGGCTTTCACTCATCTTATCAGTTCAAAAGATGAAGCGAATCCAAAAAGAAGAAAAAAAATCACACGAGATCACTTCAATATCTCAGTTGCATCTCCTCCTCGCACTGTAAAAAATGAAAAATCAAATCAACGTAGATAATTCATGTGGTTCAGATAACACAATATTTTGAGTTTCTGTTGATTAAACCAATCTCCTTCATTGTATTAAAGGATTAGTTCACTTTAAAAAAAAACTTTTGCTGATAATTTACTCACCCCCATGTCATCCAAGATGTCCATATCTTTCTTTCTTCAGTCGAAAAGAAATTAAGGTTTTTGATGAAAACATTCCAGGATTTTTCTCCATATAATGCACTTTGCTGGGCACCAAACGGTCCAAGGTCCAAAAGACAGTTTCAGTGCAAACTACAAACTGTTCAAATGGCTTTAAATGACACCAGACGATGAATAAGGGTCTTATCAAGCGAAACGATCGCTCATTTAAAAACTAAATAACAAAGTTTAAGTTTTATATGCTCACATGCTCGCCTTGCTCTGTTCTGTGTGACTCTCCTGTTCGAACTCGTTCATCAAAATGAACAAATCTTTTTTCGAGTCAATTCGTTCATTTCGTTCGTTAAATGAACCAAATGACTCGAAAAAAGATTTGTTCATTTTGATGAACGAGTTCGAACAGGAGAGTCACACAGAACAGAGCAAGGCGAGCATTTGACATTATTAAACTTAAACTTTGTTATTTATTTTTTAAATGAGCGATCGTTTCGCTTGATAAGACCCTTATTCATCGTCTTGAATCGTTTAAAGCCATTTGAACAGTTTGTAGTTTGCACTGAAACTGTCTTTTGGACCTTGAACCGTTTGGTGCCCAGCAAAGTGCATTATATGGAGAAAAATCCTGGAATGTTTTCATCAAAAACCTTAATTTCTTTTCGACTGAAGAAAGAAAGACATGGACATCTTGGATGACATGGGGGTGAGTAAATTATCAGCAAAAGTTTTTTAAAAGTGAACTAATCCTTTAACTAACATTTTTAAAGGGACATTGTGTAGGAATTTCTCCCATCTAGTGGTGAAATTGTATTTTGCATTCAAACGAATTGAATTGTTTTTCAAATGCGCGTTGCATCTACGGTAGCCGTTATGTACCAAAAAGCTATGACAGGATGTCTTCTAATAGCACTAAGTTGAGTGTTCCTTCGGGTGAACAGGTTTGTTATTTCAATTTTGATGATTATGGCTTACAGCTTATGAAAACCCCAAATTCAAAATGAGAATATTGTGAAAAGGTTTTCATATCTGTAAGCCATAATCATCACAATTATAACAAATAAAGGCTTGAAATATCTCACTTTGCATGTAATGAGTCTATATAATATATTAGTTTCACCTTTTAAGTTGAATTACTGAAATAAATGAACTTTTGCACCATATTCTAATTTTTCGAGTTTCACCTGTATATAAAGATAATAAATTCTTCGTTTACAAGGATAAGTCAGATAATAGGCAGAGGTATTTCTACACCATTGAGGACATATTTATGAATAAAAATATTGATTTTAGATAATAAAATACTTAAAAAAGTACAAGTTACCTTAAAAATGGGTGCCTTAAAGGGACAATGTGTACTTTTTTAAGTTAAACCAACTGTATTTTTTAATCTCACACGTGAAGAGTCTCAAACTGCGTATTACATGCAATCAAAAGTCTCGAGCGTTTCTCATTAAATGATCCGAGCTTCTCCACATTCATAGCTTTACACTCCTAATGCGCGAACATTGTTGACTCTTCTGTGTCCGTTTGGGAGAAAAATCCGAGACAAAGTTGATGCTTACTTAAATAAAACATATCAGAAGTCTCTCCGATGAGAGAGAGCAATACAATCGCTTGATTCGTCCAGGTGAACATGTCATCAGCACCTCACAAGATGCAATGAGAAATCAGACAGATGCAACAAATTGCAATGAAACAAAATTAAAATTTGTCGTCCACATCTTCACACAAACGTTGCACTGCTGTTTTTATGGACTCTTCCACACGCGCCGTCATATTCAGGCATCGCTGACATAATTGAGCATGAGGAAAAGATAAAAAGCTGCTATTTCCAGCAGGAACGTGACAGGAAAAGCCGCTCTGTGAATAAAGAGAAAGACGGCACACGTAAATCATGGATCGATCGGGATCTCAAAACATTGTGGATCGATAGCGGCCACATAAAAGTGAATCAGGTCATCTCTATACAGGCACAAGGTGTGTGTAACAGCCAACGCTCCAGCAAAGGCCCTGGACAACACTGGGTTTCCCAACGTTTCGTTCCGTGTTAATTTAGCAGTAAATAGAGACTGGAATTCCCTCTGACTTTATTAGGATGGGATTTGTGTGCTGAAAGCTGATTCCTGTCCCAAAGACAGCCGAGTTAAGAATAACTAAAGGGTTAAGGCCAGGTCAAAGGGCATCTATACTGTATGTACTGTACAGATTTAGAAAAGGTCATTTAGACTGAAACAGCGTTGGTTATCAAACAGCCTCAATAGGAGGTTGATATATATTATTTTTTAGCATCAAAAATATTATTTAGTGACAGAATCAACTTTACTTGTAAATAAAACAAAGATTATTGGAGAACCATGCATAAGAAAATACTAGTCAGTCTTACTACTTCCAAATTTCACAATTAAATAAATCTGTTGCTTACACGTTTCGGATTCAAATATTGGTAGATTTTGCCAGCAATTTTTGAGAGAAAAGGGTTTCAGAGTAAATACAGCATTTTTTTTTTTCAGTGTACATAAACCTGTCTGTTAAGTGGAGCACATTTTTATTTGCTTCAGTATATAAACATATATATATATATATATATATATATATCCTAGAGAGTGTGTGAGAGAGAGAGAGAGAGAGAGAGAGAGAGAGAGAGAGAGAGAGAGAGAGAGAGAGAGAGACAGACAGACAGACAGAGAGAGTATGTTTTATGTATGTGTGTGTGTATATAGTATGTATATACTGTGTATATATATATATATATATATATATTATTATTATATATTAGTGATGTCAAATCGATTAAAAGGTTAAGTGAAGCACATTTTTATTTGCTTCAGTATATACACACATATATATATACAGCGGGCACCATGATATCAATTTGACGTCAAAAGTTGGTCAAGACTTGATCAAGATATTGTATATTATTTTAAGGTCAGTTTGAAAAGAAAATGTCTTCCAGTGGTAATTAGATGAAAAGAGAAAGTTAATACCCACACTGAAATTGGTTTATGTATATGCAGGTCAATATGTTTGACATTCAGTTTACATCAAATCAATGTCAAGGATTGGTTTTGACGTCAATTTGATTTGCATATTTGACCTGTTCCCTGACGTTGATTTTGACATCAATTTGATGTCTTTTCAACATCAATTGCCCACTGGAATATATATATATATATATATATATATATATATATATATATATATATATAGAGAGAGAGAGAGAGAGAGAGAGAGAGAGAGAGAGAGTATTTGTTTAATGTATGTGTGTGTGTGTATATATATATGTATATATATATACTGTGTATATATACATATATGTGTAATTAGTGCTGTCAAATCGATTAAATCGATAAGCACATATACATACATATAGGATGCAAGTTATTAGTAGAGTAAAAAATTATATATATATATATTCCCTCTACAAATAATTTGCATCCTATCATCATATGTGATAACCATCAGAGAAAGCTGTTATAAGGTTATGAAGGTCGATATGGTAACATGATCAGATGAGTCAATCCTGCCAGTGCAGAGACACACAGATCAATAGCAGAGCTGAGCTGATCGATCCTCACAAACTTCAGATAAATCACTGTTTGTACTTGACTGGAGCACCTCTGCATAAAACTATATGACGCGTGTTAACAATAAACAGAGCAAACAGCGGATTTATAGTCAACACAGTCACCATAAACTGCCTAATTATCATTTTGTGTTATCAACTTTCACGATTATTAGTCACATAAACATCGAGGCTAAAGTGAAATATGCACCAGACCATATATAATAGCGTAAAACTCAAATTAGGGATGTGTATACTAAAAAAGTGTAGCTATATTATATAATATATTGGCATATTATTATAAATAATCTCAAATGTATGGTTACAAAACATGCGCCTGTACTATAACATGTTTTACAATGTAATCTGATGATGTCTTCACACAGGCGTCATTTGTCTAATCAAGTTTACTTTTTTTTTGTTTTCAGTGAAATTTAGTTTATTGTATGGCAAATACAGGCTATATAAAAATGAACAAAGCACGCATAGCATTTTATACAACGCAACAACTTAATTAAAAACTAGGTTTAAAAAAATGAAACATAACATACCCATCTTGACGGTCCGGAGCGCGTGCTGATCTGGCATCTCTCCCGCGCGCGTTCACTGTCATCACTCATGTCATGTGCACGCGCTCACGTGCGATTGGCTGATTGGCATTAGCGCATGCATGTAACCGGGGCTAATTGTCACACTTTTACTCAGGGAGGGTAAGTGACTGAAAGCTAATTTAAGAGACACAAACTCATTAAAACATTTTTAACATTTGAATCGTTATTTCAGGGGGAAATGATTTAACACACAAGGTTGTCATAATTTTTATTGACAATGATTTGATAAAAATATTTCTGAAATGTGAAATACTTTCTAATGGGGGAAAATCATCTGTATTTAAAAATGCATTGGCTATAAGCATTCCAGGAAATTCAGTAAACTAGGCTATGAAAAATGAAAAGGTATCCTTCTACAAAATATAAAACCATAACATTATTATTAATATTACATATTTGTAAATAATGATTTGTAGCCTATAGAAATACAGTATACAAAACAAATTTGACACAAATCACATCATCATCATTTTCATCTTTATCTTCATGCCTAAAACAAGAAAAAGACAGGTAAACTGTAAATAAATATGTCTTATCTTACACGGTGTCTCAATTAATCTTGTTTTAAGGATGTTTGCATATTATTACTGTAAAACAAGAATACTCTTTAAGATTTATTTATTTATTTTTTGCAGTATTGGCAGGAATATGGATTTCATCAGAGAGCAGAGAGTGTCTCCAGAAGTATTTTGTCAATTTTATTTATTACTAGCTATAAAATGTGTTCATTCTAATATGCAAACAGACCCAACACTCTTATTGCCAAGCTAGTATTGGAAAATTTACAGGTTAAATGATATAATATAATATAATATATAATATAATATATACTGTATATACACATTACTCAACTCAACTCAACTCAACTTTATTTATATAGCACTTTCAACACCACAAGTGGAACCAAAGTGCTGTACAGAAGGTATAAAAAATTAAATAAAAACAAAGACATAAAAACAATGCAAACATGACATACACAACTTACAAAGCATTATCAAATGCTAAAGAGAACAGATAAGTTTTAAGCGCACTCTGAAAAACACCCAATGAAGGGCAAGTTTTAACCTTCAAAATCTGTATAATGACTATAAAACTTTGATTTACAGTAAGGTGTTTTCATGATATTAAAGATGATAATTTTCTGGATGTCCCAGCTAATAAAAACTGTCCTAAGAACATTTTGATAATGTTCAATTATGGAAATGTTATTTCTGAACATTCTCAGGACGTTCAAAACATCCAGTTTTGTAACAAGTAACGTTTAAAAAAAGTGAAACCCGATGTATAATTAGCTAACATTTTTGTGCAAACATTTTTAGAATGTTAGTAAAGACCACAGATAACCATAAACGAACATTCTATAAATTTGACTGGAAGAACGTTTGTTCATAACTTTCAGAGAACCTTGCTAAAGTTCCAAGAACATTTCCTGTTATCTGGGGAATATCTGCCTGTCTGATTTGATTTCTAAGCAATAATTCAGGTATAGGTATTGTATTGTGTGTGTGTGTGTGTGTGTTCATGTTTATATTACATTGTGAGGACCAAATGACCCCACAAGTATAGTAAAACCTGAAATCACCTACATTGTGGGGACCAGCCAGCGGTCCCCATGAGGAAAACAGCGTATAAATCATACTAAGTAATGTTTTTTGAAAATGTAAAAATGCAGAAAGTTGTGTGTGATGGGTAGGTTTAGGGGTAGGGTTAGTGTAAGGGGACAGAATATACAGTTTGTACAGTATAAAAACCATTACGCCTATGGAGAGTCCCCACAAAGATGTGTGCGCCTGTTTGAGTGTGTGTGTGTGTGTGTGTATTGTCCTCCGGGTCCAGCACTGTAAATCTGCTACGGTCATATGGAAAGCACAAAGGAATTGCTGCTGTCATAAAGTATTTTTGGCTCAGAGTGAATCCCCCCTGGGCTCTGACTGAGATACGGACCCGCAGTCCCGTCTGCCTTTACAGCTAAAATCTAGCATCAAATCTCCGCTTTGGTACAGTATCATATTACAACTCCATTTTAAACTTTCAACAGACTGCGCGGTATTTGTATCGCGCTCGCTAAACATGCCGACTATCTCTCACTCCAGCTGATGAGGAATGCTCTCAAGATGATGCAGGAGTTTATGAATATCCTGTCAGCCACAGGAGAATTCATGCATCTTTGACACAATATGATGTATTCTGCTGTGAGCGAAACTTAAATCCACTTAAAGAAACTACATAGTAGCTGTGGTTGCTAAGCCTAAACCATAAAAATAGGCCTATGGTAGAAATGGTATTTTTAAGTTTTACAGACTGAACTTCAATTTGCAGATTATTTTTTATATTTTATTAACTGGAATAATGTTAATATACCAAATGAAAATGTATTTAATAATTTTATTTTATAATATAGTGACAACCACTAATGTTAAAGGGAAAACCAAAACGAAGAATCAAGTTCATTACAAGTAGCTCTTTCACAAGCTGAGGTAAATCCTAAAATATATATATAGCTAGGTGTAGGCTACACAGATACGAAACACCATCAAGATAATTACACATTCATTTACAAAACAAGATTGTAACATAAAATCTAATGTATAGGCCTATAACTTATATGAAAAAAACTAAGAAACATAGTTATTTCAATGAAAAACCTAAAGGGGTCATAAATTGAGAAATCAAATTGTCCTTGACATATAAGAGGTCATCATACTATTAGAATATCTTGTAAGTTTCAAGTTTCATATCTACGAACGGAACGCCGATCCAAGCCTGCTGTTCGCGCTCACCTTATCACAACTCATAGCTCGTTCACATTCTCACCAGCGCACTTGGATCGGCGTTCGTAGATCAACTGGGAGAGACTGTTTTTCAAAGATGGCTTCTGCCTGTATACGCGAAGTTGACTGTATGTTTAAAATATCTTCTTATTAAACTGTCTGGACACTGACAAAGTTCTCAATGCTTCGGTTTGAAGGTAGGGACCCTCATTGTGCTACCGTGTTAGTGTGGGGCTATTTTGAGCCTTGTTAGTGGTATTAACCAGCGATTTTTATTTGTCATTACTCCATGCCCAATATACTAGCGTTATACTAGCTTTATAGGCTAAACTGTTCTTAGAGATAAAACTATTTACATTCGATAATCATGAAAACAAATCTCAGATAACGGTTGACTAGGCAACAATGTGTAATTAGACCAAAGGTTCATTTTGCGCCGGAGTTCTCCTTTAACTTCTCCGTTTTAGGCTATGTTTACACGGACACGATCTGAAGAGAAAACGCAAAAGTGGCGTTGCGTTATCACTTTTTATTCTTCGTTTAGACGAGCGTTATGGTTGGGAAATCCGCGTGCATATGGTGACACAAAAGTGTGTGAAATTCGATGTAGTGTGCACTCCAGGCAGCTAGGTGGCAATGTGAAGCACTGCCACACAACAACACCAATATCTGAGAATATTTTGTACAACTGTTGAAAAGACTCTTGTATGTTTTTCAGAGCTGTAGGGCAACTTGAAGGTCCGACGTATGGAAATAATCTGACATGTTGGTTGTTATTTTCCTGTACTGGCGCATGCATGTGACGTAAACGCGTACGCGACGAGAGCCACCGTGAGCAGATTTGCGGGTTTTTTTACCGTTTAGACGGGAACGCGACGGTGGAGCGTTTTTAAGATTTGCACTCTGGAGGGTGGTTTCACTTTTTTGCGTTTTTAAGCCCCCAAAACGCCGTTGGCGTGTAAACAAAAGGCACATCCGATAAAATATTTTTACGTTTTCACCCGGAATCGTTCTCGTGTAAACGTGGCCTTAAGGTCTTCGTTTTTGCCGTTTTAGTCTGGACGGGAGGTGCAAACGTAGCAAAAGGTCTCCGTTTCTAAACTAAAACGTAGTAATGTGGACGGGGCCTAAACGTCATATCTTATTATCTAAATATCCTTGACAAAAAGCCCGTGAAAGAAAATGTGGTGTCCAAAAAGAAAATGGTGTCCAGACCCAATGACATGACAGATTCAAATTCCATTAGCATCTCTCCGAGAATTCGTATAGAACTGTGAATAGAGTCTTTTAACAGCAAAAGAGTAAGTCTTTCGGCCAGGTTCACGTCTTCTCCTCTGCTTTCAGCCCTTTTCCTTTCGTCTTCTGTGCAAAGCAGTGCAAATTTTTCAGCCAAGTTCACATCTCCTCGTCTGATTTCAGCCCTCTTTATAAAGTCATCTATCGCAGAAAGGGCAAGTGCTTCAGGCAGACTCATATCTCTTCTGCTTATAGCCTTCTTCAAAGTGTCCTTGTTTAGAAAAATGGTATGTTTTTCAGTCAGTTTCACTTCTCCTCCTCTGCTTTCAGCCCTCTTTAACTTCATCACAGCATCTTGAATGTTCATCTTGAGTTGGTCTACAATCTTACACTTCAGGAGAAACTGTTTGGTGAGCAAAGAGTCGCCTTCTGTTGTTGTCTGCTCTTGTCTTGATGATTTCACACAAGCATGAATACATGCCAGATGTGACTTGTATGAATCAATTGCCTTTTCAGCCTTTTCCAGATCAGCCAATGATTTAGTAATATAACCAGCATCCTTCTTCATAAGAGTAGCCAGTGCACGATTATAAAGAGGAATGATCTCTCCAGATGCACCGTCCTCCAAAGCTTTGGTGTACATCTCAATGCTCTCTGCAAGGCAACCCTTCTCACGGAGATTGTTTCCAGACCTGATGTAATAGTAGACCATGGAGGACGGGGACTGTTTGCTCAAAAGTTTCTGCTTTGCACTCGACAAGTCCGCCTTCAGCTGGTCCTTCAACAAGGCTAGGCTTTTCTCAGTGGGATTTTCCTCACTGAAATACATCAGGAGCCACAAACCCCAACACTCATGAAGAGAGGACACAATAACATCCCGCTGGTCAGAGAAAACATCATCCTCATAAACCTTGTCCAAAACATCAAGGTAAACGGAAAAAAGCTCTTCCTTTTTTATGATTTCTGGAATGTCTTTTTCAAGAAACCCAGAGAGTCTTTTATTCACCCCGGCATTTCTGGCATCTTTTGCCTTTTCCAGATCACTTGAATGTATGGTTAAGAGGTCAGCTAGGGCTGAAACCATAGTCTCATGATTTTGAGAGCTGTGGTTTTCCAGGTAGCATTGAACCGCTTCCTCAAACACACTTTTGTGTGACATCTGCTTTGAGAAGTCATTCAGACGGTCGAGTGAGTTGGTGAGAGATGTGTTTTCACCCATCAGTAGTTTGACCGAGTCAGAGAAATGACTGGTGCACATGATGATTTGAGCAGATCCTGGAGTCCCTTGGCGAGCCGTTCGTCCGAAGGCTTGCTGTTCAACACGGACGTTCAGAGGTAAGAAGGTTTGCATCACGAACAAACCTCCTGCCTCATTTGCACTTTCACAGACCTTTAGATCTGTACCTCGACCTGCTAGATTAGTTGCAATGATGACGTCCCCGGCTTGAATGACTGAATCTGTTATTCTAGAGTTGTCCATGTTGTTATTCACATAGAGTTTTAGTTTGTCTTTTGAGATGGTTTTTGAAAGGGCGCTATGAAACATTTCCGCACGGTTGATAGTTTCACAGATGACGAGAGCTGCTCGTGGACCTCGATAGACTGTGGAAGACACTTGATGCTTAACAACATCACAGACCATCATAATCCACTCATTCTCTTCAGGAACAACCATGCCTTCCAGCTCATAAAGTTTCCTTCGCTTGAATGAGGGAATCGTACAGGTTTCAATGCCTTTGTAAAGCTTCTTTAATATGTCAAGCTCTGTTTTTTCCCCCAAGGTTCCCGTGATCCCGTAGATCTGGTTTGGGTATTTATTGAATAAACCCACGTTAGACATGAAGTTTGTTATTAGCGTCATGTTGGACAGTTTAGTTTGGTGTTTCATCTCCAGAAACTGCTGAAGTCCTTCCCCCCAACTCATGTTGTTCTGCACAACACCGGTGGAGCTGAAATCAACCGGAGCGACTCCATCTCCATGAAGGACGTATTCGTGTCCCAGAGTCAGTTTTGTGGCTAGCAGAGCACTTGCAATCCACGTTTTCATCTTGCCATGAATGAGATCTTCAAGGCCTGGGATACGAGATTCATTTAGTTCGTTTGCTGATTCGGACTGATAAGCCTTTTTAATCCGATTCCTCAATGACGGCTCTAGAGAACCGTCCTCCTCAAAGTGCACAACACGACATTTTCCACATTCCAGGAGAATTATTGATATTTCTTGTCTATTATTTGTATCCGTTGGATTAATCTCTTTCATTTTCTGTAAATTTCCATCAGGCTGCTCCCGGTATAATTTGAAGAAATACTCAGGGAACTTTTTCACAAACATGGTTAAAAATGCCACCTTTTCCACAAAACTTGCATCATCCAGGCATTTTAAAACATTTGTCATGTTTTCTTCCATTTGCTTTGAGGATTGTATAGGCATAACTCCTGCGTCCACAGCCATCCGCACAATACTGAGTTGATCAATGTTTTTATTTTCATGTATTATCTCAGACAGAACTTGAGAGAAGAGCTGAACGGGTCCTAAAATCTCTCCAGTGTTTAAACATTTCAACTCGTTGATGATTAACCAAATTTTAGACAGTATCCCATTGAAAGATTGCATTAGTGGGATCTCGCTGCTCAAGTAGACCACTTCAACACCTTTATCCAACATTAGTGAGTCCACCTCGTCCACTATAACACACTGAAACTTCCTCTCAGGTCTCACTTCTTTTCTTTGGAAGCGTTGTCTCAGAAAATCCCCAGCAAAACTGACAGTCGTACCATAAACCACATTACATTCATAGCACTTCTTCAGCTCGCTTTCCGATTTATTGGTGTTGACGTCAACGGTTATATCTAGTGCCTTATAAAATCCAGACCATTCCTCGGCATCTCTTTCAGCAAGTACAGGAGAACTAGAGATGATATCAGGGGTTTTTCCCATCATGACCTGATACGCTGCGAACATTGCCACGATGCACGACTTTCCTTCTCCTGTCCCAACCTGAACCAGACGACTCGATTTAGAAAGAACGAGAACGCACCAGCTCACCGTCTGAGTCACTCGAGGTTTAAACTTCATTGTTTTTTCTACTGCATTGCAGAGCGTTAACAACATTTCTCTTATTCCTTGTAGGTTTGGTGGACATGTAGATTCAAAGGACACAATATCAGTCACTTGTGCCATCATTTCTTCATCAATATCTGCATGTTCACAGATTTCCTTCAAAATCTCATCCAATGATTTCTCATCAGTGTTTTTGGTTATGATGTTAATTTTGGCCTCAATATTATCCACAAACTGAGGGACTTTAGCATCATGTAGGAAAGTCAAATCCGATGCTCTGATTTTGTGAATTTCCACTTGATGAAGGATTTTCATCATCCATGTGTTAAAATCATCATTCATGCCATGAAATTGCTCCACGAGGGCTTTAAACAAGTTGACAGCATCTTCTTTTTCCCACTGTCCGCTCTTAAGCAGGGAAAGCAGTCGCGCTGACAGCAGGTTTTCAGATGCTGCCATTTTCAAAACTGTAAATTCTTGTAAATAATTTTTCCCAATCTCGATCTGTGGTTTAAAAAATCCACATAGAAATAAGTTAAATTTCTGCTCAACTCACTTGTCCAAGCAAACAAATTACAAAAAATATACACTACCGTAAACTAAAGTTTGGGGTCAGTGAGAATTTAATTTTTATTTTTTGTAGGAAAGAAATCAATACTTTTATTTATCAAGGAATAATTAATTTGATCGAAAGTGACAGTAAAGACATTTATAATGTTACAAAAGTCTTTTGAACTTCCTATTCATCAAAGAATCCTAAAAAAACTTTACAACTGACAGACCAACAACTGTTTCAACATTGATAATAATAATAAATGTTTCTTGAGCATCAAATCCTCATATTATACTGATTTGTGAAGGATCATTTGACACTGAAGACACTGACACTGGTGATGCTGAAAATTCAGCTTTGATCACAGGAATAAATTACACTTTACTATATATTCACACAGAAAACAGCTGATTTACACTGGAATAATATTTAATACTATAACTGATTTTTGTTGTATTTTTAATCAAATAAGCGCAGCCATGGTTAGCAGAAGAGAATTCTTTTAAAAGTATTTAAAATCGTACCGACCCCAAACTTTTGAACGGTAGTGTATATAATAAAATGTATTATATAATATAATGTATTTTTACATTTTTATAATATTATGTATTTATATAATAATATTTCTATAATATAATGTATTTTATCTCAAGATAAAATACATTATATTTAATGTAACTACAACAATAAAATTGCATTCTCAAAATATTTTTTCAGATTTTTTTTCCTCTAAGAAAGCATTTATTTTTTGTACTTACATAAAGACATTCAAGAGTTGTCACCACAAAACTCTTCTTCAGTTGTTTGCAGAAAAGGGAGTTGTACAGTATTTATACCTGCATATGAAGAGAAGGACGGCTCTCCTGCTCTGGAATTTCCCGGAACATTAATCGTCTCCACGTGATTAAAAGGAACATGAGCTGTGTGTTTTATGTTAAGAAAAAGCATTGTGTGCTAATTTATGAAACTATGCACATGATTTAAAATCAGTTATGCCCTAATTCAACATTTGCATGTTTACAGATTGTACATCACTCTAAAATACGCTGGGTTGTTTCAACCCAAATTTGGGTCAAATATGGACAAACCCAAATGTTGGGTTAAAAGTGTAATTTAGAATTTTAACCCAACTTCAACTTTCACTTTCAACTGTAAATTATTTAATTACATTTTTAACCCAACATTTGGGTTTGTCCATATTTGACCCAAATTTGAGTTGAAACAACCCAGCATTTTTTAGAGTGATGCATGAATGTTTTGCATGTTCATTGCTGTCTGTAGTCAATAATCTAAATGAAGTTTTTTGCAAGAACATTTCTTTCACTTTTGAATGTTGGTAAGTACCGAAAATACCTAATGGTGTTGGTGCAATAGATTACTTGTGTATACTTTGTATTTCAGGTGTGGTGTGGTGTGGTGGCGTGTTCCTTGACTGACTGGTTTGGTTGCCATGCTGGTTTCTTTTTCTCATGTTTTGTTCTTTGTCTCAAGTATTCTTCTGTTGCCAGCTTTTCTTATTAAATAATACATTTGTGTTAGGCCTAAACAGTAATGTAGATACTTAAGTGTTTAGTGTTTTAAGACACTTAGACTCTTTTTGCTTGAGGAATATTAATACCAAAAATAATTACATACTTGGTCATTTCAAGAATATTTACTTATCGAACGGTATTGTCAGAGTACTAAAGTTTGGGAGCCCTAAAATACAATGGTTCATTTACATTGATTCAGTCTTCTCAACTGCTCGCCGTCACATTGTATAATCAAATATTTTTCTGTTATCATCATAATCATACAGAATGCAGGAATTCTTTGGTTAGGTCATTTTCTGCTCGGTTTAGTTTCTCTTTGACTACATCACATGATTTTCAAGAATCGTATCATATCTTCTTATAATAGGATTCTTATAGGGGTAATAATAATCTTATAATGGTAGGGGGTATGTTTTCCCCTCAACTGTATGATAAAATAAAATTCATTACTTTAAAAAAAAATTATTTACATAAAAATTACTCAAAGCTTTTTACCACACAAATGACATCTTATGGTCAAAAGGTAGAAAATCTGCATTTGCATCCCAGACGACCCAGCCATTTTTGATAGTTTCATATAATAAATCAGTTTGTGCTACAGGTAATAAATCTTTTTCACATGTCATTGAACTTACACAATGTATGAATAAAAAAGTCTGAGAATAATATTTATGAAAAAATAATAATTGGGACAAATTAACTTGTGGACTGTAGCGTTTTACAGTATTTGTCCTGTAGCAGTTTTTATGAATCTGCTTCAAACAGCATATGCAGCCTTATTCATAGCTAATAAAGTTTTAAATATGGATGTTTTTCTTACAAAAACACGTGGCTTTGCTTCAGAAGACCTTATTAACCCCTGAAGTCGTATGGATTATTTTTTATGATGGATAGAGGCATTTTTTTGGGCTTCAAAATCGAACGTACCATTCACTCCCATTAAAAAGCTTGGAAGAGCCAGGATATTTTTTAATATCCCGATTGTGTTTGGCTGAAAGGAGAAAGTCACATACACCTTGAATGGTTTGAGGGCGAGTAAATAAAGGGATAACTTTTATTTTTGGTGAGCTTTAACCCTGTTAAATTCAGTATCCTAAAGCATTCAGGAATTACTATCATTTAAGTTTGGATAGTGCATTTTCACATCTATGCTCCTTTGTCCAACATTAGTGAATCTAATAATATAACTTTCTCTCAGATCTCACATCTTTTCTGTCTTAGAAAATCACCAGCAAAACTGACAGTCGTACCATAAACCACCTGGCATCATATATATTTCAAACATTCTTCAAAATATCTTCTTTTGTGTTAAACAGAAATTCATACAGGTTTGGAACAACATGCGAGTAAGTAAATGATGACAGAATTGTCATTTTTGGGTGAACTAGTAATAAATCCTTTGACATTGTGAATGATAACCCGTACTTGAGGTAAAACGTCTCATATCCCTCGTGCATTAACTTGCAGGAATCTAGAACATGACGTGATCTTTTTTCAGTGTAAAATGGGTCAGATTTGTCATTTTAATTACCCACATAATTGACTTATTAAGAGCTTGTATCAGATAGACGTTCTGCTCTACCTGCTCTCTCATCTCTGGATGAGAAATCGTTCTCTTTCGGGTTATTGTCAGGGGATCGACGTCCTCAGAGACGCTATTATGAAGCTGTGGAACGAGTGTGTGTCATTCATTTGCACCTGCAGCTCCTGAGGGGTTTCTTCAGTGCTCTGTGTTTAATAGTACAGCTACAAATTTGCCAAAATGTTCTTTTCTTTTTATTGGGTGAAATATAACATTAACGCTAGCTTTGAAAGCATAAGATCCCACCCTCCTTTCAAAGCCAGATCTGAGTCTACAAAGCGTCACGAGAGAAGTTAAACTACCTCATGTCTCAAAGCACATACACAGTGGATAAGTGAACACACACATGCTAAAGTTGACTAAAAAGAGGAATAAAAAATCATCTTTTGGAAATTGATCTTAATGCCTTAATTTAAAAAATGAGGAAAAATCCAACCTTTAGGGACACCAATTTTCTTTGTGAATGAATAATGTATCGTAAATAAATAAATGTTCTTCTTTAAAATACAGGGGTCATAAGTCAGGACACCCCTGTGTTAAACTCCCATAGAGGGGCAGATTTATATTTTTAAAGGCCAGTTATTTCATTATCCGGGATACTATGCATCCTGATAAAGTTCTCTTGGCCTTTTAGGATTAAAATATCCCACATCATCATATACCCTTCACCATACCTATAGGTATCTCTATAGAGATTGGCATATTTTGAAGAATGTTGGAAACCTAACAGACTTTCATAGTATTTTTTTTTTTTACTTATGGAAGTCCATCAACTGTTCAGTTACTGACATTCTTCAAAATATCTTCTTTTGTGTTCAGCAGAAGAAAGAAACTCATACAGGTTTGGACCAACTTGAGGGCGAGTAAATGAGTAAATTTAATTTTAAGGGAACTACTGTGTGAATCAGAGCCTAAGGGAGCCATTACTGTTCACTTCTTAGATTTGTAGAATTGGCAAAAACTAAAGGAGAATCTGATGCAAACTCGTGTATTCCAGCATAAGAAAGGCTGGTTTTGCTGCTGCTGCATGTTGTATTTTTAGTGATTCTATTGGGAGGGAAGATGCAATAAAAATGACAGCTAACATGCAAGTATATGCTCACGCTGCAGATGTAACATTACTGTACACTTAAACGGAAAATGGATTAAATTATAGTGCTTAAAATAAAGGTCCTTTATTGGCATTGAAGAACCTTTAAAATCCACTGAACAAATTTGTAGTGTGTGTGTGAGTGTGTGTGTGCGGGGGGGTCTTTCGATTTTTTTTAAATGTTTTTCCCTTTAAGACAAATGGTTATTTTAACAACTGTTGACTGAAATTGCATTGTTAAATAATTTCTCATGCGAATCATGGTCTGTAATGTTAATGTGCGGACCTTTGCAGACACACTGAACATCATGTATTATTTATTATTTACCTTCACTGTCTGTCTGTCTTATAATGATCTTTAATTGAGTCTTTGAATAGAGTTTGACTTCTGAGACTGAGACAGAAATCGATCCAGTGATAACGAGCAGAACTTATGATGTTCTGTCACGTTATTAAACACTCTGTAATGAATTATGAGAGATAAGAACACAAACATGTAAATATGATTTTTTGTGCTGTGCAACGATTAATTGCGATTAATCACGTCCAAAATAAAAGTTTGTGTTTAATATACACTCACCGGCCACTTTATTAGGTACCCCATGCTAGTAACGGGTTGGACCCCCTTTTGCCTTCAGAACTGCCTCAATTCTTCGTGGCATAGATTCAACAAGGTGCTGGAAGCATTCCTCAGGGAGTTTGGT